TGCTTCTATCTGCCCTGTTTGCTGTTTTTTTTCTGAAGAAGGGCCCTTGGTCCGCCCTGTGTAATATCTTTGCATGCAATCCCCCCCAAAACACCTTCAGGAGCTGAGAGGAATGTGGATCATTATGCTTTTTCACATCCAAAACACCAAGCAGTTTCTGTGGTAGCTGTCAATTATATGAATGATACGATCCACTGTGGTGGTGGAGAGGCCGGGCTCTGCAGCAGACTGACAGGGTTTGAAAGAGAGAGAGCTGTACAACCGAGCTGAGCAGGGACAGACCTTGATCCTGTGTTTAAACAGCCTCGGTTCGCCTAGATAGCACTTCAAACCACGCGTAAGTGAAAGTTATAGAAGGGCAAACCTCAAGATGGCACCATAAAATGTTGTAGTCAGCCAGTGACAATGATGACAAGCAATTAAGATTTATTCAGGAGCAATGGCAGCCAGAGCCATTAGGAGCCACATGAATGATTGATTGTACACAGGAAGTAACAACAGGAATACCTGCCAATGAGATACCATTAATACTGCTATTAAAATGTTCACATTTTGTCACTCTCAATCTATAGCAAAAGTGGCAAATAGAATTATTTTAATATTTATTTACCCATTGCCTGAAGTACCCAAGTACCCAAATTTAGCACAACCCTAACCATAAACACAACACAACCCTAACCCTAAACACAACACAACCCTAAAAATTAAACACAACACAACCCTAACCCTAAACACAACACAACCCTAACCATAAACACAACCTAACCCTAACCCTAAACACAACACAACCCTAACCCTAAACACAACACAACCCCATTCTTTTGGCATTAATACAATTCTGATGGAGACATTTGGAATCTTTTAGTCAGAAGATACTACAATCACATAAAAATGCATACATATTAGGGCTGGGCGATATATCGATATAAAAAAATATATCGATATATTTTTAAAAAAACCATATCGCATATATATCGATATAGTTCAAATTTGCGCTGTGATCCTTGCTCCAAGCAAGCTGCTGACCCGGCGCTCTCTGCACTGCTCCCCGCGCCCCCGCCACCACCCCTCCTCTTTCAATAACCTAACGTAATGTTTGTGTTCATATCTATAATTTAGACTGTAACGTTGTCAGACTGTTAGGTAAGCTAACTGCTGAGTAATTCACTGATGTTACAGGTAACTTAACGTGCTAACGTTAGCTAAAGTAACGTTGGCTAACGTTAGCTTGTTGAGCTCGGCATGATTCATGTTAGCAAAACCCAACGTTAATATTGAGTGTGGTTTTAGTCGGAATGGGTTGTTCTGTTTACAGGCAGCAAATCTTTATCATACCATTAACGTTATGTTACTAACGTTACAGACACTTGTTGCTGAGTCAAACTAATAGACAGCTCAGTAATAACGTTAACTTACGTTACGTTGTTTTAACGTAATTGTTCTTGCTTGTGTAATAACGGTAACAGTTTTGGTGAGTGGTAACAGCCTTACTGCCTTCTGAAAATATTAATTTAAAAGTTATAATGCAGCCTAACTTCTGGTCACAACGTGTGTGTATAGGTGTGTCTGTGTATGTGTGTGTGTGTGTGTGTGTGTGTGTGGAGAGAGAGAGAGAGAGAGAGAGAGAGAGAGAGAGAGAGAGAGAGAGAGAGACTGAACATTTGCTCTCACTTTGCGGAAAAGATATCGGGATATATATCATATATCGATATTCAGCCTAAATATATCGGGATATGACTTTTGGTCCATATCGCCCAGCCCTAATACATATGGACTAACTTCAAATCTGAGCCAGTGCCTTGGTCAAGGGCAATGAAGAATTAACCTAACATACACGTTTTTGATGGTGAGGGAAACCAGAGGAAATCCACACAGACACAGGGAGAACATGCAAACTCAGCACAGAAAGGCAGTGCCTCAACCAGGAATCAAACCCAGGAGCTTCTTGGTGTGAGGCAACATTGTGTATCCAGAAACACTGGGGACCACTGGTTTAATTCTTGACATGCATTGTATTTTATGTATGCTTTTATGTCTTTATCTGTAAAGTAATGAGAAACTGCTACCAGGTAGATGCACTAGGAGTACCTCAAAACTGAATTGTACTTACGTCCTTAAGAACATTTCTAATTTTCACTACTGCCGTTGTGTCATAAGGAACAATAAAATCTGCCAGGAAGTTGACTCAACACCACTGAACTATCTAAACTGTTATGCGTCATAGCCCACATTCAGACTGCAGGCCAAAGTGACCCCAATAAGGACATGATACACAGCAAAGGGCCGCAGGTCGGACCCGAACCCTGGGCCACTGCAACTAGGTCCCTTCCCCGGTACATGGGGCACCAGCTCTACCAAGTGAGCTATCTGGGCACCCCATATTTGCTGAGACAGATAATCTGTAAAATAATCTGGCTCATTGTAGTGCTCCTAATGGCATTTGCAAGAATCCACCGGGCCTGAACAAAAACAACCAATCAGAGCTGAGAAAGACATAAAGACGCTTTGGGTTGGAGGCCTGAGGATAGTTGATTGTTGATAATGAAAGTTTCAGAGAATATGACAAAAAGTCAGTTTTTGTATATGTGTATGTATATATATGTACTACATATTGTTGGTGCGTCATTAGAATATATGTTTCCAGCACAAGTTTCAGCAAATATGTCAAAAAATATTTTTTATAGAAAATTATTGCATCTTTAATGGCGCTCATAGCTTTTGTTTTGACTGTTTACATACATAAGACACATTAATGCTTCCGTCAGGGCTCAGCTTATTGCAGCAGCAAAATATATCGTACTGTATGCAACAATTACAATGTATAGATGATGTGATGATAAGCTGCATGTATTGTCAGGCTTGTGCTTCTTCCACCTACAGAATCTTTAGCTTCAGTTGTGTATGCACTGCTATCCATTGAGGATTGGCTCTCATTTGGTGCACAACTGTGTGTGTGCTGCAAGCTGCCGGCTGTTTCCTATAAAAACCAGTTTGAGGGTTTGCCTGCCCTCTGTATGAGAGGGGCTTCCAACTGAAGTGCACTTCACTGTAGCCTAAAGGTTATTTTGTGATGTGCTTTTGTACATAATGTACTCCACTGAGTTCAGCAGACACTATTTTGGGCACTACCTGAAAATGCTGGACCCTACCAACTGTTGTCTGTATTTTGCACTAGACAGTCCACAGAATGGCTTTAATCCAAGGGGTTTCCTGTATGTGCTCTGCTCCACTGTAGCCTGCGGGCATGCAGTGCACCCCGCTGATTCCTACAAACTGCTCTGAGGCCATATGCCGCCTGAAGACCTGAACAGTGAGTTTTGCCATCTGTGGCATACAAGTTAGTTTATTACACACATGCCCAAACACAAAGTGAGGTTACACTTACATATATATGTCAAATTAAATAGCCAATTTCACCCATAAATGTATTAAAGCTGCAGCAGGTAATTTTGCAGGTTCCTCTGGCTCTTCCTAGTGCTCCTAATGAATAATGCAATAATTCATCAGTTCTAGACGAGAACAACCAATCAGAGCTGAGAAATGCAAATGCCATTAGGAGCACTAGGAGGAGCCAGAGGAGCCTGGTTTTTTCACAGATTATCTGTCTCATGTTCTACTGTCAGGATATAGTGAAAGTTTCAACAAATATGAGAAAAAGTTATTTTTATAAAAAATACCTACTGCAGCTTTAAAGCAAGCAAGATCAATAGCCTATATATATTTTCTTTTTCTCCTACAGATCTTAAATGATTCATTTTTTTTTTCTCCTGCCATCCTTAGTCCTATTCTGGAAAAATAAAATCACAGGAGAAGGGTTGAGTATTTTGGCAGGACCAGGACACTGGTATTGAACCTGCATTTCATGGGTACATGAATGATTTAATTAAAGGCTCGTAACGGGTGTCAAAGAGGTCTAACTAGCCAGAATAACTGAAAACACCTGCGTGGGTGCACAGGTCTTTAAAACGAGAAGAATTTTGAGGCTTGGAAGTAATGGCACGCAAGAAAGGAGCATTATTTGTCGTCAACACTGGCTCCTTTTAGTCAAATGAGGCCCACCTGCTGCTTGGAGCCTCTCCAGTGTGAAGTCAGATGCTGCGAACCTGCCTGCCCAGAGCGGAAAGGGGCGATTTGTAGAAAAAAATTGTTTTTAAACTGAATCACTCAGTGATTGTTAATTCCGTAGTTGGAATCAGTGCCTGAGATCAAATATTTGACATCCTATCTACAGAAACTGTACCTCATGCAGCTGGGTCCCTATATGGCATCCATCCCTGTCTGTAGATAACTGTATCAGCCAGTTATTTATCAGTGGAAGTATCCGTATGGCAGTGAGCAGCCTCTACAGAATGATCTATCTGCAGCTCCCTCTGTATTGCCCACACATTAGAGTGGGCTGTGGAAGCGAAACACTGTTGGAAGCTGTGGAGCTACATTGCCTGCAGAAAATCAACAATTAAAAGAGCAGAGTCATACAGAGCAGAAGTCAGCTTTTCCTCCTCACTTTACACGCACACGGTTTAACATGTATCTGAATCCCTGCGTGTCATTAAAGGTAATGTTGAACCTCAACAATGACGAGGCCGCCGGCATCATCTCTTACTTCTGAGACAGGGTCACACAGATCCCTCATCCAAAAAACTCTCTCTGCCACCCTCCGTCCCATCTCTCCGACCCTCCCTCCCTCTCTCTGCTGCAGTGCACTCGGGCAGGGGTCTCAAGACGGGCTGTCAGTCTCCAATCACACCGCTAATCCTCTCTGATACACCCTGATGCATACAACCCCTCCTCTCCCTCCCTCCCTCCCTCCCTCTTAGACATCATCATCAGTTTGGCCTAATAGTAGCAAACAGAGAGCAATGGCATGTGAGAAACAGCCTTCTAACTACCAGTGCCACACCACCATAAAGGGTTTTTTTTTGAGAGTATACAAAGCTGTGTTATTGTCTTTAAGGCACCACTTGCAATAGAATAGAATAGAATAGAATAGATGGTCTTACTTGCTTTCCCTGGCCGGGGCCTTTGCAGCAGCTTCTGCACGGTGAGCAAGTCCTCGGTCTTCACCGCCTGCAGCAGTTCCTGGTCCTTCCCCATCTTCCGCTCTGAGCCGCTCTACTCCCGCAGCATCCTCTGACACAGCGGCGCTTCAGCCCAGCCTCACCCCGCGGAGGGTGCGTCTACCGCGGCCACGAACAGCCTCCCTCCTCCCCCCTGGTCCCTGTCAAGACGAGGCCCCCCTAGAGCTCTGGCATATGATGGGGGTGAGAGAGGGAAAGAGAGAGAGGGAGGGAGGGATAGGCTGGGTGGGATGGAGGGATGCTCTCGGGTTCCCCTCTCGTTAAGTGCAGCGCCACTGGATGGGATGGGGGGGGGACGGGACCGGGGGGCTGCTGGGCCGTTCTAGATTCCAGCAGGCTGGCGTCGCGTGCGTGAAATTTTGACGGTGGAGGTTAGCTCGCGCTCCTCATCTGTGATACCGACTGGAGGCGGGTCGGTGTCCCTCGCAGCTGCGCTCCACAACCCCGGTTAACGGAACGGAAGACGGCGCAGGTCCTCGCTGAAGGAAGGAGACGTCAAACGGAGCTCGCGGGCTCACTGAGAGTAAACGGTTGTGCGTTTAAAGCTCGGGCGCGCGCGGTGTCCGTTCCTCCCGAGGTTGTGCCGCTCTCGTGCTCTGCGTCGTAAACACAATCCAAGGCTGCTGCTGCAGCCATCGCTCCGCGTGCGCTCGGGCTCTGTATTTGGTAATGATTTTCTCCGCGTGGGGGCAGGGGTAGTGAGGGGGGCACGTACATGCGCCCGCGCGCTCTACAGCTGGCCGAGCTCGTAGCGCTAAATGGCTCGTGCTGCAACTTGGGGGCGGACCAGGAGCGCGGTGCTCTCCCGCCTCCCTTTTCATCTCTCTTTGCTTCAGAGAGAGGCTGCAGAGATTTATTCAGCTGCCAGGAAGGCTCAGACAAAGTGAATAAACAGTGTGTTCATCTCTCTTCTTCTTACTGGCCCGATACAGCTTTATGAGACCATACCAGCTACTCTTGCATCATGGCTTTTTCCATTACAGTTCAGTGCACTGAAACCAGTGATGTCACATTTTATAAAGACACACCTGCCTCTGTGTGAAAAGCCTCCCGAGCAGGATTGGAGCTAGGAATTCTAGGGCCCCTAAAACAGGGGCGGAAATATTTACAGGCTGACAGAAATATTTGCTGATTTAATTACAATACTTGTTTGGAAAAGGCCCCAAATGAAAAATTTGAACTCAAAAACATAATTGTGGCACATTAGTAAAGCCTTGAATATAATATCTAAAGGTGGCATTAGAGATATATAAATTGTTTTATTTGTGTCTTTTTAAATTAAACTTAAGTCACTAACTCATTTTGTCTATATAGCAGAACATTTAATTACATGTCTTCATTTCTGTTTTTTAACATGTTATTTTAAAATTTCATCTTAAGTAATGAGAGTTAAATTTGACACCAAACTGCGGAGCTTGCCACCCTTCTAGATCCACCCCTGACCCCCCTGCCCTCCCCCTTCCTTTGCCACTGCACAGTGGCATGTTCGGGGGGGCGGGATAGCACTGGCCAGCCTTGACCTCTGATTAACCAGCCCTAGTGCCACCCCATTATCTTTACCACCTTCCACCTGCACTGTCTGGACATACTTGTATCATATAACTAAATGACCTCACGCAACCATTGTTACCAACCATGTAATGCTAGCATATCAGGAAGGGGTCTAAATAATGCTCCAAAATTTAGCTAAATGTTTGTGATGGAAAAACTGGCATGGCCATTTTCAAAGGGATCCCTTGACCTCTGACCTCAAGATATTCTGAATTAAATTGGGTTCTACACGTCTCCCCTTTGCAGACATTCCTATGCTAATCCCATGCAGTTTGGGGCAAAAACCATGCAGTATTTTCTATGAATTATTTTTTGCCTAGTGTAGTTGAATATTTCTGCATACTGGAGTCCGTAAACAGTGTTGGAATTGCATAAATCAGTAAAGACTGAAAAGCTGAGACATCACTGTCAAAAAAGTCTCCACTGAAAAATCAGTGTTTCTTCTTGTCCCTACAGTGTGCTGTGTGAATGATGTCTGTGCAGAGTTTGACACTAGAAGGATGTTTTCACATTCACATCTGATTTTAAGGCCTACCAGCACGATTTGTGACATCACAAACATCCTGGTCCAGTATCAACTTGTACAGTGTGATGTAGAAACTTGAAGCCACCAGTGCACATCCACTGAGAATGGACTTTACAGTGAAGGAGGAGACATCTTGTGTCAGGTAGGAAAATGTTAGAAATAAACTGAATTTGCAGAGTATTTAATGATGTAGAAGGAGTAGATGTCTTTTTTAAGGATTTCAGTGTGGAAATGATACATTTTTTGCGGAAGAAACACACCAGACACACATTATGATACATGTCTGGAGCAGGTCTTTGAGTTGGACAAGTCATTCTGTATGCCACATTCTTTGAAAAGTTCCTGCGTATTCCGGTAAATGGCTGCAATTACACAAAGAACAAACTCTTTCCAATCGAATGCCACAAAAAAGCAATCAACCATTCCATTCAGTCATTTACTTAACAAAATGGTAATATTCAAGCATGTTAAAGTAAATGACAGTAGGTGTGCAGTTTTGTTGCTAATTGTTGAAAGGTTTTTGTTTATTTTTATTTTAGGCCCCTAGAATCATTGTCACCTTTCATCATAATGCCACTGTTTACATGTCTTTTCTATGTTTTTCTGAAATTTCTCTATTTAAAGGCATAGTTCAACATTTTGGCTAATGCATTTAATTCCATTTTTTTCAAAGAGTTAGATGTGAAGATCAATACCACTCTAATGACTATTTGGTAAAGATGAAGCAACTAGCAGCAGCAGGTTAGCTTAGCTTAGTGTAGATTAGCACATAGACTCTCTCTCAGTGTTTTAGTTTAATTGTGAGCTTAGTGAGTTTTAGAGGGGGCTGGCAGATTTATATTCTGTTACCTCTGCACAGAATCAAACTGGCTTTTTCCATCTGTCTTTATGCTAAGCTAGGTTAATTGTCTTCTGGCTGCAGATGGGAGAGTGCTATCAATCTTCTCTTCAAACTCTCAACAAGAAATTGAATAACCATGTCTCCCTGAAACTTTGTTAAAATGTTTAAGAGTACACTAAGTTTTTATGTTTAGAATATTTCTTGCATTTTTAAGAATTCAGTCTCTCCACAAATCTCTGTAGTCTGCATATACCCTACATAAAGAAGTTACAGTGAATGCAGTTGTTGTGGCAAAAAAGACAATTAGAGAAAGAAGAGGACAAATGAGAGAATTTGACCCTGACTTCTAACTGCAACATCTAACTTATCTTCTTTCTCTGCCCAACCTCCTCCAGATTTTTAACTCCACTCTCCTCTCTTGTGTGTGTGTGTGTGTGTGTGTGTGTGTGTGTGTGGGCAGTGTGCAGTGCTTGGATGCTGCTCTCTGCCTCCTCCACATATTCAGCGAGTTATGTAAGAATGCTGAAGAGTAGCCCATATGGTAGTGAGAGAGTATTTATAAATCTGTATCTGTTAATGCAAAAGCATCTCACTACTCGGAGCTGTGTTATCACTAACACTTGATATAAAACGCTTCATTTTAGAGAGTTTATCTGCACCACATACCCCCACCCCCCTCACTCTTTCTGTGTGTCTTTCCCCTGGTATTGTCAGACAGGAACAGTCAGGATTCAGTATATGTCCAAGGTAGGAAACTGTAGATTTATGAACCACTTAGCTGTATCTATTACACGTGTTCTCTTTCTCTTTCTATGTGTGTGTGTATGAGGAACTATTCAGAGGCATATTTAAAGCTGCTGTCTGTCATTTTTATTTTATTATATTTTCTGAAACTTTCCCTATATCCTGACAGTAGAACATAAGACAGATAATCTGTGAAACAATCAGGTTCCTCTGGCTCCTCCTAGAGCTCCTAATAATATTTGCAAGAATCCACCGGGCCTGAATGAAAACAACCAATCAGAGCCAAGAAAGATAGAAAGACACTTTAGTTTGGAGGCTTTAAGAAATTTGATTATTATTATTGAGTCTCATTCCCAGGGTACCAAAGAGTCTGTATATGACGACGTGAGAATAAGACTCAACAATCAACTATCTTTCTCGGCTCTGATTGGTTGGTTTCATTCAGGTCCAGTGGACCAGTGAACCAGATTTTTTTCACAGATTATCTGTCTCATATACTACTGTCAAGATATACTGAAAGTTTCATCAAGTTATTTTTTTCATAAAGGTTACCTACCGCAGCTTCATTAGTGGTAGTACTGGTGATGGTATGAGAACAACAGAAAAACAATTTCATGATATTTCAGTAGACATAATGCCAATTAAACATTCTCATCACTAAATGAAATGTATGTGTACCATCTTCTTTCACTTTAAAACAATAGCCTCTCTGCAGTGACTCATCCTGACTGCATGTTGGTTTATAATTGTTAAGGGACAAGAATAGCTGTACCCATTTAGTTTGCAGTTCAGTTGAAAAGTATAGTAGTGTAGCTTTATTTATTTATTTTTACATATGAAACCATGTTTATTTTAAACTTGAGTCACCTCATTTAACAAGAGCATACATAGGGACGTGTGAAGCAAAAAGACACTGCCCTCATGTGGCAGGTCACAAAGCATACACCTCCCAGGATGGCTTTCGGTTTAGTCTAGTAGTTAAAGTAAGGGAGAATGAGCAATAATACATTTTAAGTATCAAGTACAAGTATTTGTCTACCCATTTTAATATAAACCAGTGGCTGAAATATGTATCAATGATTGCCTATTGTTATACAACGTTGTAGGCAAGTAGATTATTACAGTAAGCACATCAGCATAAATATAATAAAATAAAATAAAGCAAAGAAAAAATATATAATATATAATGTAATATAATGAAGAAAACACTTTTTTTGCATCAAACAGCTTTAATATTTTTGATGCTTTCACTTTTGAAACATCAGGAGGTGAGTTCGTCATCGTCGGAAATTGAGCACACTAGCAAACCTCCATGTAAAAGTGGAATTTTAGTGACTAAACTTTAATGGGAAAAAACTCCGCTTAGACAAAACACAAAACTTCTGTATGTATTTTGAAATAAAGCGTCAGAATTGAAGATAATGACTTACTTCTCTCTGAATATTATATTGTTTCGGGATTTACAAAGAGCACTTGAATGCATATTGAAAGAGCCCTTTTCTATTCTCTGGCCTGTGATTGGTCGACTTTGTCCGTCCATCAAAACTATACATTCGCAAGCAGTCGGAGTGAGGGGAACAGGTTGAAAAGAGCAGGAGGCTTGTACATTCAAATACTGTTGGTTGCAGATTGTAACCGGACCCAACACACAAGCTGGTGAGGAGTATTACTGTGTTTTGCTAATTTTATAGTCGTTATTCTAAGTTTTTGCTCGCTACGCAGATACAATTGCTTTCCGACGGATGAGAAATCAATTCAAGAGCTAACGTTATGCCATGGCAAGATTATTTCTCCCGAGCTATCGCGTTAGTTGTGTGTCAACGTTAGGTAACGCTATCTCGTGATGCTACAACCAATACAGTTAATATTAGCTGACGTTCATTTATACTTTATTTGTCTAACTGCTCTCATGTAATGGACATTTTTAGGACGTAGTTTAACCTCTTAACACGTCAATTCTGGAATAACATGCAGCATTTTAAACGGCAAAATCCTGTGTTGTCCTACTAGCTTAGCAACATGAGGAAGCTAATGTCGTTGGGATGAACGCTAAACGTCAATCTCCTATTTAATGTCAAAGTATTATACATATTAACACAGAGTATTGCCCCCTAAAAGAC